GGACCCCCCCCCCCCCCAAAAAAAAAAAAGCAAAACAAACTATAATAGGCAATTCTTTAAAGGCCCCTACATTACGGAGGTCCTATGGTGTGATAGCTTAGGCCTATAGGGCCAATAAGTTGAAAGCTGAAATCCCCAACTGGAGACATTTTTTCGAGGCCTTCGAGCTCCGGCCCGAGTAGCGAAGTGCCAAATTCCCTGGGAGTTGAGGGTTTAGGGTCTTAGTCCGTGCTCAAATATAGGGTTTTGGACTGAGTTCTGGCAGGTTCTGGAATGTGTAGGTATCGTGGGTTTTAAGAAATATAGTCCTGGGGAGCTTAGCTGTGAACGGTCGCATGCCAGGGCTATCTTCACAAGGAAGCTAGTTCGGAGCATCCGATCGAAGTGCACCTCGAAGACGAATGACGAATCATCGAAAGTGGTGCACGGTGCAAATCCTTGAGCTCATCATGTGCAACAGCCACATCTTAGAGCCAAGTGCTCCGCACCCCTTCAGGGAGCATTGCAGAGTCCCAGTTGTAAGAATCCGTGGGCCGTTTCCACAAGCCTGCTTTCCTTTGGGGTTGCACATCTTCCTCTGCAATGCGCCCCCTGGATATCTTTAGCAACGTTTGTACCTTCCGAGCCAGCGCATCCGGAGGACTCCCCATGCAGAGTTCAGGGTCCAAGGGATCTTTCCACGACGTGATATTCGTAGATCGCAGTGTTTTCTGTGGGTTTACTGGGCCTTTCAGCTGCATCTGCGCATCTTCAAGGGGCATTTACGACTGATCCTGAACTCTGGAAGTTCTGGACCCCAATTCTTGGCTGCTGCGCTTGAGAAGCTCAATCGTTTGGTCAACTCTCCGTCTTTCGAGCTGGGGTTGTCCTGAAGTCGTTGAGCGTGTGCCATGCTGTTCTCGTCCCATCAAGGTACAGCACTGTTAATCTAGACCGGGTCTTGGGTGTGTTGTTGTTGGCTGGCGGCATCTCGCGCACGCGGGTTGCCAAGCATTCGACGATTCAAGCATCCCAGCAGCAAGAGGAAAAAGCTGCTACCCTGAAGAAATGCTGGCATTTGTCGATATGAGTATCCGAGATGTGGTGAGTTAAGATATACAGTCATACTACCCTTGAACTGTTGCGATCTAGCCAAGGTTCGCCCACAGGGCTGCAGCTAACGAATACGGCCCCCACGGGGTACGCAGCGTCACGAGCTGCCAGGACTACGGCGGGGCATCAGATTTATGGAGTGTGTGAGTAGCTTCCAGTTGGGTGTAATTTGTGTGTCGCACCCACCGAAGCCTGTCAACAAAAAAGCTTACATTCTCCTACAGTAAACCCGAAATCTGAATCGTCTGGAGTAGAGTGCGTTTGAGATTTTCACAGGAGTGCCCGGGGCCTTTGTGCTGTGCGAGGTCCTCTCCGTCCAGGACGAAGAACGGGTCTGACGTGCAAGCATCTAAGTCAAGGCTTTGGGGGCTCGGGCTTCTTGTGTGGCACATCTGCATCCCCGGATGTAGACCCGCTCACAGCTACCCCAAAGAACAAGCAACCCGAGTTCGGCTTTCTTGAAAACATCAACGGTCGTTTGGAACCGCGCGTGGGGAATGATAACCCGCTTGCAGGCTTTCGGACAACGGCCCCAGTCATTTCCGTTCATGCTGCTGACTGGGATCAAGATGGTGATCCTGATCCATTGGTGCTGACTCTACTCTCGTCCCTGCCGTATTGTCACGAAACACGTATACTGTATGGCGAACAGCTCTCAGGTGGCTCTTTCTTGCAGCGCGAACCGCTGGGTGAGGCCTTCGTCCTTTCTCGGTAGAGGCCTGCTATGCAAGTCATCGACTGGGATGGTGATGGGGTCATGGATCTTCGCTACACATTTTTGTCACCAGGCGGAGCCTCGTCGAAACACGTTTGCCTTGGAGCGGGGCCAGCATGCTCTCTACGTTAGGTCTGAGCTTGACTGGGTTGACATTCGTGGACTAGGACAACAATGGCTTGACAGATGTGCTTGACGCGGGTAATGGTGATCTGCGATTCTTCCGATCTGGTTCCGATGGCAGTCTGGCTTATTTTCCAGAGCAGTTCCCACAGCTTACCTGGACTGCGACACAAATTTTGACAGCCGAAGATTGGGATGGTGACGGAGATGCAGACCTCATCACCAGAGATGCCAATGGGCTGCTGAGGTATTATGAAAGGCTGAATGAGAAGCACGCCCTTATGGTGGAGGCAGCGACGCTGCACTTTCCGTCTCAGACCATAGCTGCAGTGCAACTGTTTGCTGGTCACTGGGCTTCCGATGCCCGTGCGGACTTGCTGCATATCGACGCAGCAAGTAAGCACTTTGGGAGCAGCTGGCGAACGGTGTCGCGGAAACGTTCAAGGCAGAGTGACCTGTGCTGAGGGCACATGTCCAGCTGGTTCAATCCAAGCTCGCCGTCACACAGGAGATGGCTTGCGAAGTCACAAATCTGTTCGAACAGTTCGGTGAGCTTTAATGGGCGCTGCGCTTCGTGTTCTCCAGGTAGAACTAGTAGGGGCAACGAGTGTGTTGCATGTGAGGCTGGCCGCTTTGCCATTGCAGAAGCTGCAACCGAGTCCTGCAAGAACATCTGCAACCCACATGGGTCGTCTGCCCTCTTTTTAATGAGTTCCCTAAACCCTGGTCCCCCCGACACAGGATTCGCTCAGCAAGCGTGGACCCTCCCCTTCTTCAACCCGGTTTCTTTTCATCCAACTAAAAGTCGGAGCAACACTCCTTGTTCCATACCCCTAGACAGATAGACAGATGGGTCGATGACTCGACATTCAGTGTATCCCTGAACCCTTCACCCTCAGGGGCCGGACTCCCTAATTCTACGACAGTGTAGCCCTAAGTTTCTGCGCTCTCGGCTCGGATCTCTACTGGTCTCAGCATCGCAGCCACCGAACCAACGCGAGGTGCTCGGTGGTTTGGAGGTCTAAGCAGTTCAGGAGATTCGGGGATCGAAATATCTAAGGTGGTTGGGGCTTGAGGCATGCAAGCTGCAAGCTCTTAATGCCTAAGCCTCAATCCCTCACTGAGGATCCATCCTCGGCCGCAGTGTCCGAGTTGCGAGAGTCCAACTGAGGACCTTCATGACGAGAGCCCTCCTCTTCGCAGTGCTGGTCAAAGCCCGCGGCCTAGCAGGGCGCACGGCCGATTTGGACTCGAACTTGCAAGACGCAGGCCTTGGGTTGCATCGACGAAAGCGCAGCTGTCGCTGGAGCGTGTGTCGAGACCGAGGCTGCGTTCTTGTAAGGCTCCATAGTACCAGGGCATGTGCAGGGGGGGAGGCTTCTGAAGGACTGCCGCTGCATTGGGTGCGGGAGAGTCCATCTTTGCAAGGGGAGCCCGATAGATGGCTAGAACGTTGAAACAGTGTTGTGCAGCCATTTGGCCTGCCTGCTTTAGGAAAGATGCAAACTCTGTGAAGTTCGCTTTGCAACTCGCATAACATCGGGTCATCCCAACCATCTTATCATGGGGCCCTGGCCGCCATGGCCTTTTTTTATTCGGACACACCGAGCTAGATAGATAGATAGATAGATAGATAGATAGACAGATAGATAGATAGATAGTTAGATAGACAGAGAGATAGATAGATAGATAGATAGATCGATACAGACATGGATATACACTTATCCACATAGAAATGCATAGGTACACATATATATATATATATATACATATGTATACAGACACACACACACACATACACACAGCTCTTTCTCTCTCTCTGTGTCACTGTCTCTCTCCTTCTCTGTCTCCCTCTCTCTCTCGCTCGCTCTCTATGGACATACATATGTTTTCATTTATACATATATATATATATATGTATACACACACATGCATACAAAGCTTCCCTCACTGCAAGGTGGAGTCACTTTTGCAGAGACCGGCCTCGGTCCGTGATCAGGTGGGATGTGCCTCTGCATGGCGGGCTTAAAGCTGAGGCGTGAAAGAGGCTTAGGCTCGTTTAAAGCTTCTTGGGTGGGCTGTTAACTTGGTGTTGGCAGCTTCTAGTGAGTGTTGATGGGATTTTCTAGGATTTCACTAGTTCTGTAGCCTAGCACCCTGATTGAACCCCAAAATCCGAACCCTACAGCCCTAAATCCCAAACCTCCGGCCAGGCAGAATAACGTGTGCGGATGTCAGCATGTACCAACTACAGTATATATTTTGTACATGTAGGTAAGTTATATGTTTATATGTGTGTATATATATATGTAGAAAGATGGATAGATATATACAAAGACAGATAGACAGGTAGATAGATAGATAGATAGATAGATAGCTAATAGATGCCTTAATAACGGATCGGGCTTTGACATATATTTTGTTTCGCTATATTTCGCTTACGAGAGGGACGAACGGGATACTACTGCTAGCAAAGTTACCTACGCAAACTGCAACTAGGGTTTAGGGTTTCGGACTTTGGAGTAAGTAGGTCGCGGTATCTATGAGAGCCATAGTAGAACCCGATAGTGTTGCTAACTGGGCTTGTTGGGAGAACTGATCTGGCTCGGCAGATCTTGCACATCGTGGACTTCAGGGAAGCTTTGACCAGAATTTCTGTGAGCGATGAGCTTCTCGCATTGAAGCGGCGTTTCGTCAATTACTACAGGGAAGTTGGCGCGCACATCAAACACAGCGTCCATGAGATGCAAGATGGTCAAGTTTTCGTTCTTACTTTGTTTCCGGTTGCTCCGCTCATTGCAGGAAGTGTTCGGCTATTCTGGCTGGCGGCCGTTTGCCCGGTGAGCCATGTTGTCTCAGGTCCACACCGACCTGGGGCAAACGGTTGACTGCATCCCTTTCTTGAAGCAGCCTGCTCTTCTGTGGGCTGGAGAAGCACTGAAGCAACTAGATCTAATTGGGAATGGCTCTATAAGTTTTCAAGTCACTTGGCAAAACAAAACTCGCACGAACCCCTGTGCAAAGCCCGAACAAATTATTCAAAGGTCGGGTGTGTCAGATGCAAACAGCAGGAAGGATGCATATCAGGGTTCAGTTGTGGTCAATTCTGTGCTACCCACTTGCGATGTTGTCGCACATGTGCTAATGGGTGGCCGTATGACATTGCGGCAAGGACTTGTGACTTTGAATTTGGAGGTTGTTCCTGATGCATGTGTTCACGATTTCAATAGGCATTAAGATGTAATCGAGGGAGGTCAACCACACAAGGCTTCTGCGATCCTGAGGCGTAGATGTTAACCTGTCCTCCTTCTCTTTCCAACTTGATCCTATTGCTTGTTATTGCTTCTTTGGCATGGTAGCTTCCGAAACACCACGCTGGCATTCCTCGGTAAGATAGACCCAGACATGGAACAGACGTTGCTGGCAGCACTCTGCATCAAGGACTTCGGTTGATGTTGCATTCTGTCTTGGGGCTATATTCTTCCCAGCCTTCTCACGCCCACCCGTCGGACTCGTCGGGTAAGCTCATTTGTGCATGTAGGTGTACCACTTCTGAACAATGTTCTGCTTTTCAACGCATCTAATGAATCTAACGGTTGAAACGCCCGACGCTTATGCTTGTTACTTGATGTTTCAATGCCGTTGATGTTGTGTTGCGAAGCGTGCGAACAATTTCTGTCAATCTACAAGTTCTAGACTCACTGTAACATCCTCAGCAAGTTCTACTGTCAACATGGTCACAACGAATGCTGATGACATAGCGTTTGTTCCCAAGACGTTCGATGCAGCCAGCATCCAGCTGGTGGGACCCATAAGTAGACATAATAACACAGACACACACACACACA